GGACAAATGCATTTTCAGCAAAAAAAACATATGTGTTGTAATTTGCGCGCGCGTTGACACAAAATTCTTGAATTCGTCCCATCATGTCCTATCTGTGGATGATTGGCCTGGTGATGCGACTTTTTTCCTGTGGGGCCAACCTTTGAAGATCATCCGCAAGTATTCAGTCAAAAAAGGTCCAGCCCCTTGAATTTTATTTTTGACACGTGCGCCTCGGCCTCTTGAAGTCACCTTTTTTGGTTGGTGAAGCTGAACATATGTGGTTGTACCCCTTTTGCAAGGACAAATGTCTTTTCAGAAAAAAAAACGCCTGTTTTGCAATTTGGGCACACGTTGGAACAAAATTCTTGAATTCGTCCCATCATGCCCTATCTGTGGATGATTGGCCTGGAGATGGGATTTTTTTCCTGTGGGGTCAGCCTTTGAAGATTATCCCGCAAGTATTCAGTCAAAAAAAGGTCCAGCCCCTTGGATTTTATTTTTGACCCCTGCGCCTCGGCCTCTTCAAGTCACTTTTTTGGTTGGTGAAGCTGAACATGTGTGTTTGTACCCTTTTGCAAAGTCATGTAAAGAATCATACCCCCTCAAGTAATCATGGTACATTTCTTCCTGGGGTTTGACATTTAGATATGTTCTAGTAAACTCCCATTTGATCCATCCACCTTCAAATTCCTGGCTACTAACCTTGGGAATTCTACAAACTTACCCATTATCAGAGTCATTCATGATTGATTTCCTGATGCCTTACATACACAGACTGATAGATCAACCCCCTCAATCACAACAGACAGAAATTGATTTCCTGCCACTGTACGTCAGGAAGCTTTCAGGAAAAAAAACTGGGCCTTTTTTGGTATGATATTTGATTCCTGGCCCCGTATCATGCCCCTGGACCCTCACCCACTGTCTGCTAGATTTTTGGAAAATAGTGTTTTTTAAAAAGCGTACTGAACCCCCAGGGAAAAAAAACTGGTAGTACAGAGGAGGATATTGTTGAAGAAAACCATACGGAGTTCATAACTGTTCAAAATTAAAATCCAGTGAGCTATCGGATTCAACCTTTTTACAAACCACTGAAATGCATTAAAAAGTATGATCACAACCTTTATGTAGATCCTACCCTCTCCTGTTCGACAGATTGGCCCAGAGATTTTTTTCCTGTACCCCAACCTTGTTTGGAAAACCATGCAATCCTGGCAAGCAAATCTTCGAAACATATAAAATCCTGTGGTACAACCTTATGTTACTAATCCTGCTTTCCTGGCTCCAACATTTGTTTTCCTGAACCCCAACCTTGCGACATCCATTTTTTGATGATTTTTACCTGACTTGGCATTTTTATTCGCCGAAGTGGAGTCACAGGAAAAAAAATTACCGGTAGCACGGAGGATCATGTATGTATGTATGTATGTCTGTATGTGTGTATGTATGTGTGTATGTGTGTGTATGTATGTATGTATGTATGTATGTATGTATGCATGCATGCACGTATGTATGTATGTATGCATATTTGCATGTGTATATATATATATATACGCGTACATATATACATATATATATAGATATAGATATATATGTATATGATTGTGTATGCGTATTGTCCATGTGTGTGCGTGTGTGTGCGCGCGTGTTGGGCAAACTATTCTCAATACGAACGTTTTTTCCAATCTAGATTGAAAACATCAAGGTGGAACAGCTTACTGCATGGGATTCTCATTTGTACACTCAGAGGTGTCCATCATCTCCAGGCCCCTGCGCAGTGAAGCGACTGGATAAAAGAAATTGAGCGATGATTTATTTCACCATTTCGAGAGTCCACCTTTCTGCTTTCAACACCTTCTCATGCCTCCTTCTCTTTCTGACTTGGACTGTTTTTCCCCTTTTATGTAGCCTTTTCAAACTCGCTTCACCAAACGTTCTGATGCTCTGCTTTCAGGTATTCCCAGAAAAGCGGGCAGTGACGCACTGCTTCAGGTACCCTTGTTGCAAGTTTTGCCCTGACTTGACAGACCTCTTTTGCCCCTGAGGGCCAGCTGATTGCCCCAGGGCTGGTAGCAAACCACTGTTGATTTGCAGCTGCACCTGCAACAGAAAAAACGAGAAAAGGTTTCAGGTTTCTGGAAACACCAAACTCAAGATGCAGCATTGCCGCAGGGTTGGCGAAAAGGAGACAAGAAAATGCGATGTCAACGACATGTTCTTGAATGTTCTTGACATTTAGAAAACGTCTGAAGCCACTCAGGACACGACTCTGTGCAGCATCTCGTACTCCCTCAGCATGCAAATCCAGGCCCACACCCCTGAAACTATTGACCCTGTGTGCCCCCCGCTGAGGAAGGTACGTCTTTTCAAAATAAACCTACCACGACCTACCTAATCTGTACCTCACCTACTATATACTATCTATCCAATCTAATCCCATCATCTTATCTAATCTAGACTAAACTACCTATGCCCTGACCAGCATATATATATAATACATGTGTGTGTATACAGTGTATACATAAATACATATCCAGAGTATATAGGCTCATCTAGTCTTGTCCAATCGAGAAAAAAATTAGCCGCATCACGTCACATCTTGCCTCGTGTGATGGAACTTCATGAATCGATCTAGTCATCTCTCTCTCTCTCTCTATCTCTCTTCTGCAATCTGGTGCTATGTGTCTGTCCGCTTTACTTGCTGTTTGAGCTAGTTTTTGGGTAGCCAACTAGACCCTGGAGGTTTTTGAGTTCGACAAATTGTGTCACGTCAACCGGGCGCAAGTGACTTTGCTTTTGATCTTTGAATCCCTCGTCGCGTGTCTTCGGCTTCAGATGAAGGCGCTTCACGATTGACAAGTTCCATAGAGCCAAAGTAGTGCACAACAGTATCTTATAATTTGTATAATCGTAATGCATCATGTATATTCATTTATACACTAGCATTCTGAGCAGGTTTCGTTTTGGTAGAAAAAGGAGCCACTTTGAAGTTTGAAGAATGACTTGCGTGAGCCAAGTCTAATATCCTCCACTCGCTCAACTGATCGCATGATGTGGACCCCTCAAGTCCCAAAGATCCGTGGCCCGTGGCATTCTGAGGTGAAGTATACACTGCACCGCGACATTGTCCACCCACTTACCGTGCCCCTACCTAGAGAAAGCGCTTTTGTTACTTGCTGTGTACCACTTTTCAGCCACTTGACATCTCTATGATTTCATTCAGATGAACTACATGAGAAGCACAATGGAAAGATGCGACCAACAAACAGAAACGACACATGAGAAACGAAGAAAGGAAAAAAACGAAAGAAAGCACGGATGAAACATGGACAAACGAATGTGGACGGATGGCTTTGCAAGGAGGAGGGATGCGCAGAAAAAGGATAGACAGACTAGCAGAAGTTTGGACAAACAAATGACAAACAAATGAAAACAGAGAGGCGGGCAGCAATGATTAACGAATAGTTTCAATATGATACAACAAAACCCGGATAGAAATATATATATATAAACGGGATGAAGCAAAACAATCAGGCTGTGTATTACTCAGGTGCTCAACAAACAAAACAGCATTAACAGGACAGGATACCGATGGATGGATTGTGACATTGACTTTACTGATCAATTATTGATGGCTTGGCTGATGGCTGGACGCCCTAAACACGTGTGTGTGTGCGCGCACAGTGTGTGAAGATTTGGCAACTTCCAATCTGTGGGTTTTTTCAGATGCTGTCGATGTCTCCAAGTGCCAAGGTACCGGATCTGATTTCGAAAGCCCTCGTTGATGGAGATACAATGCCGTCGGGTCAGCACATAGGTGTGGGCTTGGTCTGATGGAAGATTGAACTTTTCCATCACATACCTTCGCCAATGCCAAACAGTGCACCGACTATGCAACTCGCATTTGTAAAGCTTTAGCAAAAGGTCTCACACTCTCGACAAACATCCTGCCAAGACCTGTAGTGTTCATGACATAGTGCCAACATGATTGCAGTATTCATCAAACTGCATCCAAGAAACGCAACAACAAGTGCGGCAGACCGAGACATGCCTGAGATCCAAGATATCCCTGGATATCCCTGGTGAAAGGTTACCCCTCAATTTCTTCCCCCCCTTGAGGCGCAGTGCTCACTTTTGAATTGGCGTAACTTATCTGACTTATCTGCTGCACGTTGCCTACTCCAAGAGAGGATCTATCTTACCGTTACTATCTTGGTTTGGTGGTGCCAGTGCCAATGCGGGGGAACCGTTCGGAATGGTCGTCTGCGCGAGACTCGGACTGACATCTGCCCGAAACTGCATTGTCTGTATTCAACTGACTATGCCTTGTTGCACTCACAGCTGGCTTCCACATCCCTCAATGTATGACTTGCTGTTGGTTTTTATCACATTGCTTTGAGACCAACTTTGTCCTGGAACTGCACAATGGATACAAACCTCTTGCGGTGAATTCTGCTATGAAGCACACGTTTGCGAAAAACAGTTGCTGTGTTTGGTAGTCCAAAACGAGAGCAATGGCAAAAGACCTCAAAGATCTGAAAGGATTAAAAAGGGTTAAGCAAAACGACACGAAGGCAGAATCTAAACAACATAATCTAACCGCTATGAAACTTGAGAAGGAAGAAACGAAAGCCAGCAGCACAGCGGAGAGGGGTGTGACAAAGGAAGAGATGAAGTGATGAAGTGAGAATGAGGCGGGGAGAGGGAAACTGAGTTACCAAAGTGGTTTCCTGGTTGTCGAAAAGGGGGAAAGGAGTTAAAGGATGTAAAAGGCACTTGTAGAGGAGGGGTGTGCGAGACGAGTCGCAATGCCTTTTCTTCGCTGAAACGATTTCTTTAGAGTGCTACAAGTCATTGTTACATTCGAAGGATGCAGCTTCAGCGCTCCTGGAATATCTTGACACAAGCAGCGAAAACTAGAGAAACCCGGAAATCCAGAACATCCTGGTCCTGACATAAACCCATGAAGTCACAGCTCTGGCACTGTCAAAGCCAGATCCCACAATATCACACTATATGATGGTAAAAGCTACATCGGTTTTCCAGTGCTAAACAAGCCTGCACAAGAAAATGCATGCACTTTAGTAACTGTCAGTATGATACCGTATTCTTGTAAGTGTTCACAGTCCCGAAAAGGTGCATTCAGGGGGCCTAACGCAGTCATGGCACCAGCATTGCCATGAACTAAGATCCGACCACCTCTGGCGAGAACACCATCGAGGAGCTGCTTCACATTTGGAAAGAAGCGAATGATGTTCTCAAAGGGGTTGTCACCTGCATGCATGTCGGAGCACAAAGGGCAAGGTACCGAATAAATCTTCACATATGTTCGAGTGTAAAGTGCGTGCATAGGGCGTATCGTGACAGGATTTATGAATGTGTAAAAGAGGGATTGAGAAATAAATGGATGGGTGGCTGGAAGGGCAAATGATTGACGAATGGATTGATGAATGATTGATGAATGGACAATGTGAATGCGGGTACCTGTATGCATCCTAATATGATATATGCAATATAATATGTATGAGATTGAGTATGTAAGTATGCATGTGTAGATGTACAGTATCTGTGCCTGTGTGTACAGGAACCGACAGAGTCAAGATATGTCAAGATATGTCAAGATTGCCACCCTCAAAGGTGGGACAGGCCTGCAAAGTCCTCTGAAGTGAAGCTGGGGAATTACATGTAACTACTGCATAGTAATGCTACTTTCACAACCAGACTTCCTCTGACCTACTATGACTGCTCCAGCGTAAAGATCCGTTAACCAATTTGCTGAGGTCTGTTTGCTGGGCGTTCTCACGCAGCAACGAACTGCATACCCTCCATACCCTGCATATCTGTAGACAAGCGACGGCATTCCAGCACCTCCAGGATCAAGGATGCAAATTTCCATGTGATGGCATTCTATGTGAGAATCATTGGGAGAATTATTTGTATAGATACTTCATGAACCTTAATGATTAATCAAAGGAAGTTGGGAAGCAATACTTCCGAGGTACGGACAAATAGAATTCTGAGTCTTGAAATGATGAAGGGTGGTGCGCGATTGACACTTGACCTTGAAGGGTGGTGTGCGATTGAGACTTGACCTTGAAGGGTGGTGCGCGATTGAGAAAGGGTGGTGCGCGATTGACACTTGACCTTGAAGGGTGGTGTGAAGGGTGGTGTGCGATTGAGACTTGACCTTGAAGGGTGGTGCGCGATTGAGACTTGATCTTGAAGGGTGGTGTGCGATTGAGACTTGACCTTGAAGGGTGGTGCGCGATTGAGAGTTGACCTTGAAGGGTGGTGTGAGACTTCACATGACCTTGATGAAGGGTCGTTGCAGATCGGATTGAGACTTGACCTTGAAGGGTGCTGCGCGATTGAGACTTGATCTTGAAGGGTGGTGTCGATTGAGACTTGACCTTGAAGGGTGGTGCGCGATTGAGAGTTGACCTTGAAGGGTGGTGTGAGACTTCACATGACCTTGATGAAGGGTGCTTGCAGATCGGATTGAGACTTGACCTTGAAGGGTGGTGTGCGATTGAGACTTGACCTTGATGAAGGGTGGTTGCAGATCGCATTGGAATGGCTGCATGAATGTTGCATGGGTTATGTTTTGGGGAGGAAGCCGGAGCACGAAACCTTGCGTTTTTCCGTGTAAAGTGGCTGCAGCCGGCGATGAAAGGTACCTCGTCTGTGCGGCGGGTGCGGCTGCGGTCGGTTTGCCTTTTTTTTTGCCGCATTGTAACGGTGGCTTCAAGCTGCTTTGGGTGTGCTTGTGTGTGCGTAGTTATAGGGTGTTTTGGAATCTGTGCTTGCAGATCGCATTGGAATGGCTGCATGATGTTGCAAGGGTCTGTTTTGGGGAGGAAGCCGGAGCACGAAACCTTGTGTTTTTCCGTGTAAAGTGGCTGCAGCCGGCGATGAAAGGTACCTCGTCTGTGCGGCGGGTGCGGCTGCGGTCGGTTTGCCTTTTTTTTTTGCCGCATTGTAACGGTGGCTTCAAGCTGCTTTGGGTGTGCTTGTGTGTGCGTAGTTATAGGGTGTTTTGGAATCTGTGCTTGCAGATCGCATTGGAATGGCTGCATGATGTTGCATGGGCTATGTCTTGGGGAGGAAGCCGGAGCACGAAACCTTGTGTTTTTCCGTGTAAAGTGGCTGCAGGCGACGATGAAAGGTACCTCGTGTGTGCGACGGGTGCGGCTGCGGTCGGTTTGCCTTTTTTTTTTGCCGCATTGTAACGGTGGCTTCAAGCTGCTTTGGGTGTGCTTGTGTGTGCGTAGTTATAGGGTGTTTTGGAATCTCCGGTGGCAGATCGCATTGGAATGGCTGCATGACTGTTGTCATTTGGTGTTCTGGTGTTGTTATGTGTGTAGATACGTGCAGGTTTGCGACGTGATGCTGCGAAACGCATGGTAATGGCTGCGTCAAGGTTGCTTGGTGCCGCGGCTGCATGCGTAATACTATCGTCTTTTGCAGCTGAAGATTGTAAATCGTATTGGAGTGGCTGCATCCAGGCTGCGACAGTGATTTGTCAGAAGATTGTCCCAATTTTGGCGCTAGTAATTTTCCTTTTAAAACTCCTTTGAAAAAGTGCTTCAAAATCGTCTTTTTTTCGTCGAGATCTGGTTTTGGAGCTGCAGTTTCCGACATAGTTCTATTGTGCTTTGCAACTCAGTCTCCACAGATCGCATTGTAATGGCTGCGTCAAGGTTGCTTGGTGCCGCGGCTGCATGCGTAATACTATTGTCTTTTGCAGCTGAAGATTGTAAATCGTATTGGAGTGGCTGCATCCAGGCTGCGATAGTGATTTGCCAGCAGATTTTCGCAATTTTGGCGCTAGTAATTTTCCTTTTAAAAATCCTTTTAAAAAGTGCGTCAAAATCGTCTTTTTTCTGCTTTGGCGTCGAGATCCGGTTTTGGAGCTGCAATTTCCGACACCATTGCGCATAGTTCTAGTGTGTTTTGCAACTCAGTCTCTGCAGATCGCATTGGAATGGCTGCGTCAAGGTTGCTTGGTGCCATGGCTGCATGCGTAATACTATTGTCTTTTGCAGCTGAAGATCGTAAATCGTATTGGAATGGCTGCATCAAGGCTGCGAAAGTGATTTGTCAGCAGATTTTCCCAATTTTGGCGCTAATAATTTTCCTTTTAAAATTCCTTTTAAAAAGTGCGTCAAAATCGTCTTTTTGTCGCTTTGGCGTCGAGATCCGGTTTTGGAGCTGCAGTTTCCGACGTCGTTGCGCGTAGTTCTATTGTGTTTTGCAGCTCAGTCACTGTAGATCGCATTGGAATGGCTGCGTCAAGGTTGCTTCGTGCTGTGGCTGCATGCGTAATACTATTGTCTTTTGCAGCTGGATCTCGTAAATTGTATTGGAGTGGCTGCATGAAGGCTGCGAAATGGATTTGTTAATTTGTTAGCAGATTTTCTCTATTTTCTCTATGAGAAGAGATCTGGAAGAAGGTGAGAAGAGATGAGCTGGGATAAGATGAAGTGTGGAGTGTGTGAAGAGTGCAGTGTGAAGTGTGGGGCGTGAAGAGTGCAGTGTGAAGTGTGAAGTTTGGAGTGTGGAGGAAGCAGTGAGAAGTGAGAAGTGAGAAGTGTGGACTTTGAAGTGTGAAGTGTGAAGTGTGAAGTTTGCAGTGCGAAGAGTGCAGTGTGAAGTGTGGAGTGTGAAGTGTGAAATTTGGAGTGTGAAGGAAGCAGTGAGAAGTGAGAAGTGTGAAGTGTGGACTGTGAAGTGTGGAGTGTGAAGTGTTGACTGCCAAGGGTGCAGTGTGAAGAGTGCAGTGTGTAGTGTGGAGTGTGAAGACTGCAGTGAGAAGTGTGAAGTGCGAAGTGGAGCTTCAAATCTGACATGTGCAACAGGACACCACTTTCGCAGAGTGCGCACGGGCTTGGCTGGCGCACGGCGCATGCAAGTTCTATAGATGAGAAAGGTCTCATATATATCTTTAAGGCAACTTCCGCCCCGCCTCGTGCGGGTACTACTGGTAATGATTATACAATATTATACAAATGCGGCTCAATTTCATAAGACACGTCACATAAGTCACACTTGCCCCCCTGGCGTGGGACTCAACCTCACCTCGTAGTGGATGAAGTCTGGGTATTTCGGACAAATAATTCCTATGGCGTGCTCAGGGGTGGTGAATGTGTTAAAAGCTCACCGAAGTGCAAGCTAAACATGTTTTAAAAGAGTAGCTGAAAGAAACTGAAGAATCTTTCAAGAGTCTCATGTCAATAAGAATCGGTAGAAAATGCAAAACTGCCTTTGATGTCAAAGCGGCTGGCTTCTTCTGGTGCTCGGACTACCAAAGCATCTGTAATGTGGACCCGCTTCAGGAACTCCTGCTCAATCGGTTCTGCTTTGCAATCAGTCAATGGCCCAGAAATCAACCCGCAAAGCAAACGCAAGCACAAGCCCCGACATGAGGAAACTAAGAAACAAAGATAGAAACATGAGGAACATATCAGAATTATCAAAATCTCATCAGGGTGTCATGTCTCTCATGTCTCTCATGTCTCTCATGTTTCGTAGATTTTCGAGCCATGGCTGTCTCCTGATCCCGCGCTGCCCCGAAAGGGCCGAGCCACAGACCAGGGATGATCTCCTGAGCCTCTCGCCTCGAGAGAACGTTCCTACAAAAAGGGTACCGGGTACAAATGTTGTTCAAATGGTGGAAGATGTGGAAGATGTGGAAGATGTGGAATTCTTCAAGATCTTCAAGTGCCTCGGTATGCCTCCAGATTCTCCCATCTCCATTTCTATGTTACATGTTTAATTTTACACTGTTTCATTCATATACGACACGTTCATCATAGATCATCATAGCATTATATCGACATTTTTTCTTGCTTTGGGTTTGATCTGTCTTTCTGCTTACAGCCTCTGGTTCCTGGTTACCAAACCCAGGGCAACAGTCTCCACTCACTGGTCATTCTGTGCCGAGGTGCTTCTTGGTGTAAACCCAGTCGGTATCTGGTTGAAGCAAACCCTGCACTCCGGAAAGCGCTGTGGAATACATGCCACTCCTTGCCGCATCGAAACTTTCAGACTTTCTAGCTTTTTCCCCATGTTGGACTACAGATCTTCCACTTGCCAAAATCAAGCATGAGGTGCGTGCCGTGGAGGATTCGAGACATGCAGGGAAAGCAAACCCCTCGTACAAGTAGAGATTTGCATTTTTTTCTCTATGAGAGAACGCCTTCATGACACTTTGGACCATCTGCTGGTCCTGGGATGCGCATTGCCGCTAGGCCATGGGCACCCAACACCGTTTGGAAGACCAGCTGAGCCAAAAGATGCCCAAAGCAAATCCATTTGCTGCAAAGCAAAGCAGGCAACTTAGATGACTTAGATCAACTTACTGTAGGGGATTCCGGGATTCCAACAGTGGCGTGAAGTTGTGAAGGATTTCAGAATCGTTGCAGAAGAACGAAAATGACATCAGCAATGTGTGACTCCTCAGCTATCTGGCAGCTACCTAGCAGCTAGCTGAAAATCACTCCGCACACACCCAGTGTAGGAAGCAAAGTTTGGACTTGCGATCCGCAGCTTCTACCATTTGAGTCTAGGGTGCGCCAGTTCAACATGCAGGAGGCACGGCCAAACCTGTCACCTCGCAAAGACCAACACCATCGGCAATAGAAATATACCTGCAGCTGTCAGCAGGAGGAGCCGTCCGGGAGAAAACTAGGCAGCGGTCTCATAGCTCTCAAAGAACTTCATATTGCAAAAAAGAACCGAACGGCTTGGAACCTCATTGTCTCTGGTGCTGAAAAAGGCCTGCAATCCCAAGGAGGGGGGAAAGGAACAGAAAGTCAGTGGACAAAAAAAACACGCAAAAAACTAGACGACGGTTGGCCCGAGAGCGAAAAAAATGTTTTTCAAGCAGCTCTGAGCATGGTAGTCGTAAAAGATAGTCGGTGAATGGTTGGTGAATTTTATATGAGCTATGGAGGGATAAGGTGTGAAAAGTAAGATTGATTATATAAGAAGAGGATAATTGGTAAACGGCATCAGATGACACGTGTCTTGCAACCACAGAGAGACATAGATAGAGAGAGAGAGAGAGGGAGACGGAGAGAGAGAAAGAGGGAGAGGGTGAGAGAGAGAGAGAGAAAGAGGGGGAGAGAGAGAGAGAGAGAAGGAAAGGGAGATAGAAAGAAAACATGGAGAAATATAATGTGAGCAACAAAAGTGCACAGGAGGCTCGGTACCATGATGCTGCGAATGACATGTGTTATCTCATTTTACTATGGTAATTCCTACACACATTGCCGAAAAAGCTCGGTACCATCATTCCTCGGATGTGAAGAAACGCGGCGCTTATACAGAGACGCTTTTACACACAGAAGCTTTTACACACAGACTCTCTTACACACAGCAGCTTTTACACACAGACGCTTTTACACACAGACACTTTTTACACACAGAATCCTTTACACACAGACGGTTTTACACACAGACACCTTTACACACAGACCATTTTACACACAGACACTTTTACACACAGAAGCTTTTAAACACAGAAGCTTTTACACACAGAAGCTTTTACACACAGACACTTTTGCACACAGACGCTTTTACACACAGACGCTTTTACACACAGACTCCTTTGCACACAGACGCTTTTACACACAGACACTTTTACACACAGACTCCTTTACACACAGACGCTTTTACACACAGACACTTTTACACACAGACCATTTTACACACAGACACTTTTACACACAAAAGCTTTTAAAAACAGGAGCTTTTACACACAGAAGCTTTTACACACAGACTCCTTTACACACAGACGCTTTTACACACAGACACTTTTACACACAGACTCCTTTACACACAGACGCTTTTACACACAGACACTTTTACACACAGACGCTTTTACACACTGACACTTTTACACACAGAAGCTTTTAAACACGGACACTTTTACACACAGAAGCTTTTACACACAGAGGCTTTTACACACAGACTCCTTTACACACAGACTCCTTTGCACACAGACTCCTTTACACAAAGACGCTTTTACACACAGACTCCTTTACACACAGACGCTTTTACACACAGACCATTTTACTGTACACACAGAAGCTTTTACACACAGAAGCTTTTAAACACAGAAGCTTTTGCACACAGACGCTTTTACACACAGACGCTTTTACACACAGCAGCTTTTACACACAGACGCTTTTACACACAGACACTTTTACACACAGACTCCTTTACACACAGACGCTTTTTACACACAGACACTTTTACACACAGACCATTTTACACACAGACACTTTTACACACAGAAGCTTTAAAATGCAAGGTTTTCCAAATAATTAGATGCTTTATCCGCCGACCCCGGCCTTAGCCAAGGCAGGGGCGGCGCCTGGGACCACCTCAGGTGTGGAACTTGTCTTTCTTAGCAACAACCCCAAGGCCAGATCCATGGTTTCTTCTCAGCGCGGTCCACGCCAACAGGCACCACAAGGCCACAACAATGGCTTCTTAGGCTTCTTATGGGCGTCCAAGCCTGCCGTTTGCCAGCCCTTAAAACCCTAAAACCCCTAAAACCCTTAAAACGCCTAAAACCCTTAAAACCGTTAAAACTCTGCCACAGCGTATGGGACGCCCAACCGCCCACAACAATGGCTTCTTAGGCTTCTTATGGGCGTCCAAGCCTGCCGTTTGCCAGCCCGTAAACCCCTAAAACCCCTAAAACCCTTAAAACGCCTAAAACCCTTAAAACCGTTGAAACTCTGCCACAGCGTATGGGACACCCAACCGCACAGCTTACAACCGTTAAAACTCTGTCCAAGCGTCTGGGATGCCCAACCGCGCAGGCATAAGCTACCCCAAGGCCAGATCCATCGTTTCTTCTCAGCGCGGTCCACGCCAACAGGCACCCCAAGGCCACAACAATGGCTTAGGCTTCTTATGGGCGTCCAAGCCTGCCGTTTGCCAGCCCTTAAACCCCTAAAACCCCTAAAACCTCTAAAACCCCTAAAACCCCTAAAACCGTTAAAACTCTGCCACAGCGTATGGGACGCCCAACCGCGCAGCTTAAAACCGTTAAAACTCTGTCCAAGCGTCTGGGATGCCCAACCGCGCAGGCATAAGCTACCCCAAGGCCAGATCCATCGTTTCTTCTCAGCGCGGTCCACGCCAACAGGCACCCCAAGGCCACAACAATGGCTTAGGCTTCTTATGGGCGTCCAAGCCTGCCGTTTGCCAGCCCTTAAACCCCTAAAACCCCTAAAACGCCTAAAACCCCTAAAACCCTTAAAACTGTTGAAACTCTGCCACAGCGTATGGGACGCCCAACCGCGCAGCTTAAAACCGTTAAAACTCTGTCCAAGCGTCTGGGATGCCCAACCGTGCAGGCATAAGCTACCCCAAGGCCAGATCCATCGTTTCTTCTCAGCACGGTCCACGCCAACAGGCACCCCAAGGCCACAACAATGGCTTCTTAGGCTTCTTATGGGCGTCCAAGCCTGCCGTTTGCCAGCCTTTAAACCCCTAAAACCCCTAAAACCCTTAAAACCGTTAAAGCTCTGCCACAGCGTATGGGACGCCCAACCGCGCAGCTTAAAATCGTTAAAGCTCTGTCCAAGCGTCTGGGATGCCCAACCGTGCAGGCATAAGCTACCCCAAGGCCAGATCCATCGTTTCTTCTCAGCGCGGTCCACGCCAACAGGCACCCCAAGGCCACTTGCCAGCCCTTAAACCCCTAAAACCCCTAAAACGCCTAAAACGCCTCAGGCCAGATCCATCGCTTCTTCTGGGCGTATGGGACGCCCAACCGCGCAGCTTAAAACCGTTAAAACTCTGTCCAAGCGTCTGGGATGCCCAACCGCGCAGGCATAAGCTACCCCAAGCGCGGTGCACGCCAACAGGCACCCCAAGGCCACAACAATGGCTTCTTAAGCTTCTTATGGGCGTCCAAGCCTGCCGTTTGCCAGCCCTTAAACCCCTAAAACCCCTAAAACGCCTAAAACCCCTAAAACCCTTAAAACTGTTGAAACTCTGCCACAGCGTATGGGACGCCCAATCGCGCAGCTTAAAACCGTTAAAACTCTGTCCAAGCGTCTGGGATGCCCAACCGCGCAGGCATAAGCTACCCCAAGGCCAGATCCATCGTTTCTTCTCAGTCGCGGTTCCATTGCCAACAGGCCACCAAGCCACAACAATGGCTAGGCTGATTAATGGGGTCCAAGACTGACGTTGCCAGGCCTTAAACCCTAAAACCCCTAAAACTCTAAAACCCGAAAACCCTAAACCGTTTTAAAAAAACCTGCCAAAGCGTATGAGACGGCCCAACCGCGCAGCTTAAAACCGTTTTTTTTATTTTAATAATTTTTCTTTTTATTTTTTTTATTAAAACTCTGTCCAAGCGTCTGGGATGCCCAACCGCGCAGGCATAAGCTACCCCAAGGCCAGATCCATGGTTTCTTCTCAGCGCGGTCCATGCCAACAGGCACCCCAAGGCCACAACAATGGCTTCTTAGGCTTCTTATGGGCGTCCAAGCCTGCCGTTTGCCAGCCTTTAAACCCCTAAAACCCCTAAAGCCCTTAAAACCGTTAAAACACTAAAAACTGTTTGAAACTCGCCAACAGGAGTTATGGGGACGCCCAACGCGCCAGCTTAAAACCGTTTTTTTTTAATTTTTTTTTTTTAATTAAGTTTCTTTAAACTCTGTCCAAGCGTCTGGGATGCCCAACCGTGCAGGCATAAGCTACCCCAAGGCCAGATCCATCGTTTCTTCTCAGCGCGGTCCACGCCAACAGGCACCCCAAGGCCACTTGCCAGCCCTTAAACCCCTAAAACGCCTAAAACGCCTCAGGCCAGATCCATCGCTTCTTCTGGGCGGTCCAGCCTGCCGTTCACTAGGCGATCGCAGCCAACAGGCACCCCAAGGCCACATCAATGGCTTCTTCAGCGCGGTCCACGCCAACAGGGACCCCAAGGCCACAACAATGGCTTCTTAGGCTTCTTATGGGCGTCCAAGCCTGCCGTTTGCCAGCCCT